ATTGGTCTAGATGGGTTCCCGATCCATCTCGATAAAAGCTGAAAGTGGTAGCCTACGGTTTTACATGCATAATCAAATAATAAATCAATCAATAGGTTCTCAATGGAAAATGAAAGTGGTAGGTTATGGACACAAATAAACATACACCAAGTCAATGAATGGATTCTTGATCTTTCTCGATAGGTTCTCGATGGTTTCTCGATCGGTCACGATAAGTTCTTGCTCGGTTAAATGGTTTCTCGATCGGTCTCTATGGGTATTGGGTTATCAAGATGAAGAATGTGGTGTCTTATGATGTTGAAGGAAGTGATGAAGAATGTGATGTCCAGATACAGACTTATGATGTTGAGCTATTGTAGATACATGAATTGTGATAACCCGATTTGTGGTTATAAAGTTTTGGGTTATTTTTGAAATTGTTTGAGAGTTAGGAGTGTGTTTTAAAATTTTGCTTAAAATATCTAATTTCTTTAAGCCGCCTCTTTGTTTATATATAGGGTTGGGTTCACGTGATACCAAAGGTTTTTTGTGAGACCCGTAAGATCAATTTATGTTCATTGATCAACTTTATGAGCTAATAATTTAATGGTCTAAAGTTGCACGGTGGCAATTTTGTGATTATTGAAAAGTCTCGTGACAATTTAGTGATTATGAATGTTCAGATTGTAGATCTAATCCAATGGTTGAGAATTGGTCTTACGAGTCTCACAAAAAACCCTTGGTCTCACATGATCTCAAATCTCTCTCTCTCTCTCTCTCTCTCTCTCTATATATATATATATATATTCTTTTATTTCTTGTAATTGTTTTGCGACAGATAAAACTAAAAAGAGAAAGTTGGTGAGAGTTTTTCTTGGTCACTGGGTTCGATCAAAAATAGAATGAAGAAGTTGATGCGTGGTTATTAACTGATATTTGTTGTTGATTAAAGTTTTCGATCTCTTTGGGATTATAGGTGAATTTTAATTTAAAAGCATCACTTGATTTACTTTTGATAAAGAAACCGTATGGTTTCTAGTTTTTATACGCGGGGTGTTTTGAAATTGATTATATGTTATTTTTAGCATAATTTGGTGTTTTGATATGTTATTATCAACTGATTGGAATAATGGTAGCATAATCAGAAGAGATGTATTTGGGGATAAGGGTGGCATAATCAAAAGAGACGTATACTGAGATAAGGTTGACAAAATCAGTTGTATACTAAAAATGAGATTTTGATCATATGAAGTATTGTTATCGCATCTTCATGATGCGATGAGTTTGGTTTATCACATCTTTATGATGCGATGAGATAGTATCATCGCATCTTTAAGATGCGAGGAACAATGTTTATCGAATTAAGGTGATGCGAGGAAAGCGAATATCAAGGATGCGACAAATGGGGGTTATCGCATATGTGAGATGTGACAAGTGGGGTTATCGCATCAATGAGATGCGACAAGTTTGATACCTCAATGAGTTTGATACAATAAGATGATGTTATCTCATTTATATGATGCGACAAAAATGTTTGTTTCAATAAAACACTGTTTATTTGTTATCAATACAAACATGGGTTTTTTAAAAGTGTTTTGGTGATTTTCACTCTGTAATAACAATCAAAAAGAGATTTCTCACTAGACTTTATGATCTAACCCTCATTTTGTTTTAAAATTTTGCATCACAAATCGGGCAAATATGGAGAATAAGGGGAATGGAAAGATGTAAAAGAAGTTATAATTGCATTACATTTGTGAATTTTGGGAAGCTGATATTGTACATGTACTTGAGAATATGTTTTATACAAGTCATGTACTTGGTGTGAATGAAAAAGTTTGTAACTACATTTATATGTTGCAATTTGTACATTGAAGACCAATATGTAATTATTGTATTTCATGTTTTATGAAATTTGTGGATTATATGTAAATATGGATTTGGGGTGTTACATGAATATACATGAATATTACATACATACATATATATATATATATATACACATATATATATATAGGAGTGATCATATGAAAACCGCCCTCATTTATGTAAACCGTGCAAACCACCTTCATCTGTCGATTTCATTGTTTAATCTTATGAAATTTTTTCATGAAATTGTTTAATCTTGTGAAATTGTTTCATATAATACTTTTTTTGATGAAGTTGTTTCATATATGGTTGTGAAATTGTTTCATATAATACTTAATGAAACTGTTTCATGTATTTCTCTAACATTAATGAAACTGTTTCATGTATTTTTTTAAAATTAAAATAATGAAGATGATAATATCTATGATTAACACCCTCCACAATAAAAATGATTAATCAACCTCTCATAATTACAAAAAAATGAATAAAATGAAAAATTATGATTGGTTGAATAAGGTTTGCACGGTTTGTACAAATTGAGTGGTTTGTACAAATGAAAACTTTTAAATAGTTGATTTGATATTAACATTTACATATTCTTTTTCAAATTTATATTTTATTCAAAAATAAAATCATTATTGTTTTCTTAAAAACACATAAAATCGTATTATAACATCGACATAGACAAAAAATAAAATAAAACAATTAAAATCGAGATGTATCTCGCTGCTTTGAACGAGTACTCTTCTACTATTAAATAATTTAATGTCTAAAAAATATATTATAGTTTGAAGGCAGAAAAATACAAGTAGATATAAATATATCCCTGCAAAATCCACCTTGATTTTGTCTTTGCAAAAATACAAGCAAATAAGATATTGGTAATTATTACTCAAAGGATATTAAAAACAACTACTTATTTCATGGGATTTTTTTTATTTTTATTTTATTTTATTAATGCTGGAAAAAAGGAGATAAACATTACATATAAATAGGTGAAGGACAAAAATGTCCATGTTTTAGTACTGATGTTGATAAAACTGAATAAACAAGTGTTTAATAATTAACTACTGTTCTGCTTGGGGGAAAAATTATTTATTCTTATTGCTTAATATATGTCAACATGTTGGTTGAATTGGTCGGATTGATACTTTGATACATTAAAATATTATTCTAATCTTAAATATGTTATTTTTTTACTCATAACTTTTTTTTTTCATCATCAACCATTTCATACAACTTATCCGTACTTCTTATGTATATCAATTCAGTTAATTTTCTCAATTTACATATATATGTTCATAGTTACTGGATATATATACGAATGAGTTATGTAGATATGTGAATAGATTGAAAATAAGTGTATATGAAGAACATACATGATAGTGTAATTGTTAATGTATATACTAATAAAAATTCAACAATCATATTAAATCCAAGAAATAAAATGATATCAAGTTCATTGAGTTGAGTTAGATTCAAATAATAATAATCCAATACTTACGGTTTAAAACTTTACAATTCATTTCTATTTTAGTTTTTCATACTTAAAAATAGCGTTTTGAACTCAATGATGAAAATAGAATAAACTGTAAACCATAAGGATGAAAACCAAAAATTTTAAACCATGAAAACGAAAACAACAATCTTTAACAAACCACGTAGACAAAAAGACGTAATTTACCCTTAATTAATTAATAAACCTCCAAAAACTATATGATAAAATATTTAATTGATGTCCAAAATTGGAAGGACAAAAGGCCAACATTTTCCATAAATACATCATATATATATATATATATATATATATATATATATATATATATATATTATATGGCTCAAATATCCAAGTAAAGAATTAAGGCAATATTCCAAAGACTTCCCGTTTCCCAAGTTGCCCCCCGTGACTCAATTTTGTATTCACGTTACACATATAATATTAGTTCCAAATTGGGGATAAAATTGACATTCTCCTGTTACAAGTTTGACTCTCAAAGGTCAACATCATCTTTTCGAATAAAACAGAGCACACATATATCAGTTTGGATGAATTATGAACCAAAATGAGGAAATTAAGGTTTTAATTATTAGTCGTTCAAAACACAAATCAAAGCAAGTTGGTTCCTGCCCCTGCATTTCCCCTAAATTAAAGGGTTCACTGCAATTCATTTTATTATCTATATTATCTTATAAACCAGATTTATCAAAAAATTTAAAAACAATTTTTAATGTACAAAGTACTATACATTTGTGCACAAAGTCTTGAAAGTCTTAAAAACAACTCATAATGCATTAAGTACTACTACTTTATGCATTCAGTCATAAAATCATTTAATCCACGATTAAAGTAACATATAGTGCAAGTTACCAATGCACATTATTACCTTTTCTTTTTATGTTTCTAATATACTTTTGACATCTTTCACTCATCCATTCACACTCTCATACCTCTATGTCTTCTCCCCATTCTTCAAAGTGAGATTCAAACTGATATTCACCATGAGTTATTAAAAGTTCTCTCATGAATCTCTTATTCAATTGCTCTAGAACTCTTGGTCTCGCTCTCGATCTCTTGATTCTTTGCTCTTGGTGTCAATCGAACACATTTGGGGAGTCGTTTAAATATGTTGGATTTTAAATATATTGGATTTTAAATTGTCATACAATTTTTTTTTATCGATAGACTGTAATTGAAACCATAACTCTTATTTATTCAAATTGTATTAATATGTAAAGACCAAATGCAACTTATATCATCGTTAAATATTCTCTAATAAAATCAGTCAAACTTCAAAATCGTAAAAATTCACGGCTCCCGCCACATTGCATGGGTAGACAACTAGTAACTTATAAATTATAATCATATTCATATGATTTATTATAAATAACATTTACGTATGCTTCATGTGGGAAAAGGTCGAGTTTTTACTCATAATCGAGAAGAAAAATTGAGCGTTTCAGAGGCAAGTGGGTGACCACTTGTTGTCGAACCTCAAATCCCTTGTTTATTTTGTAAGAACGTCTATCTCCTTAACAACTTGACTAAAACACAGTGACGGATTATTTTAGACTATATTGGTTCTGTTTGATTTGGTTTCCATTGTGTCCACAAAGAACTATCAAGGCTTCCATGACCTCATGACACCAGCTACAGAAATTATGAATCCAATTATGCAGCAAAGAGATATAATGACAAGAAAATATATGTTCTGTTTAACTTCTAATTTTGGAAAAATGTAGCATGCGGTACGCAGCCGATAAGTTCACGCTGATACGCCCAACTTCATATTTGAACATGATTTCTATCGGTTGGCCACCACAAAACATTGAAGCATGTCAAAACAAATCACTGTTTCATTCTGTGCAGCAAGAGCAAACCACCCGGCTACGTATCAAAGAAATGATGCACGTTTTCAGCCACCAAAGTCGGCATCAAGAAGAGCCGAACCTGTAACCTCACGAACTAGAGTGAAGCATGGCTGACCACCACGGCACAGCCCAGGGTTCAGACCATCACAAAGCCTGAAAAAAGCATCGGTCATTATTTTAGCATTGTTGTCTCCACACAAGTACTCTATTTGTTCCATGAAAACTGCAACATTTGTCATGACACATAGTTTAGTTTAAGGATGTCTATAATACCCTTCAATACAAACAAAATGGAGCGACCCATATTAGTTTAGTTGCATCGATGATGGGTAAGTATATACGTGGTTTTAATATAAACATTTAAAGTTACACAATCCATGAACTTGATTTGAAGAATCGACACCAAATGTCTGTTGTAGGTAGGCATAAGCAGGTCAAGATGGTCACCTAAAGGTCAAATACCCAGATCGGATGGGGATGGATGCTCAAATGATTGCAATCAAGGAACACAATCAATGGCTAATGTACATGAAACAAACCTACCAACTGTGCAATGGGTATAGGACGTAGATGAGACGGAACAATGACCCTCTACACTTGGTAAGGATCGACTGATTAATATTGTTGCTTAGGGATATTGGTTACATACCAACATTCACAATGTTCATGAGCTAATACTATACCAACCACTTTGTGTAATTTATATGATTTAATCTATTAACTATTATCCTCTTAAGGAAATTTAGTTTTTTAATTTTTTCATATGAACCCATGTGAACCGAATCTAGACAAGCCAAGCCAAGGCTCTATATACAATCTGAGCAAGGCTCGAGTGCTTGCCAAGCTCAACAAGCTACAAGCAAAGTCCAAGATGATGTTCACAACAGAAATAAAGATCTAACTAATTCCAAAAAAAGACTTAAAACTAATAAATAGAAAAATCATGACACAAAAAATACATCACACCTAAAACTAAAAGAACATGTTTCATCATCGATCATATATGGTGTAAAAAAAAATTAACGTACTTGATTATGCAGAACCAGGCTTCATAAAATCAGCTTTTATGTTTGGACACATTGAGGAAAGATGACCTTTTTCACCGCACTCATAACAAGTCCTCCTCCTTATCTTACCACCACTGACAGAACTCACCACATTATTGCCAGCTTCATTACCAACAGCCTCCACAGGTTTAAGTTCCTCAGCTTTCTCAATTTCCATGCCATTAATAGCTTCCTTGCTCGAACTCATCAAGTCAGCTGCTTGTTTCTTTGGGCATAATGATGATAGATGACCCCTTTCCCCACATTCATAGCATGTTCTCCTCCTTAGCTTACCATCACTAACATTACCAACAGCTGCCATAGTTTTAGGCTCCTCAGATTTCTCAACTTCCATGCCATTAGCTTCTTTGCTCATATTCGCCACATCAGCACCTTGTTTCTTTGGGCATAGTGATGATAGATGACCCCTTTCACCACATTCATAGCATGTTCTCCTCCTTAGCTTACCATCACTAACATTACTCACCAGATTACCACCAGCTTCATTACCAACAGCTGCTATAGTTTTAGGCTCCTCAAATTTCTCTATTTCCATGCCAATAGATTCTTTGCTCATATTTGCCACATCAGTAGCTTGTTTCTTTGGGCATAATGACGATAGATGACCCCTTTCACCGCATTCATAGCATGTTCTCCTCCTTAGCTTACCATCACTAACAGAATTAATCATGTTATTTTCAACCCCTCCGTTAGCCATGGCCACCACAGGAGCAAAAGGGAAGTCATTAGATTTGCTGCCCGTATTAGCCACATCAGCAGCTTGCTTTTTCGGGCATGATGAAGAAAGATGGCCCTTTTCACCACACTCGTAGCATGTCCTCCTCTTCAGCTTACCGTCACCATAATTATCAGCATCCTTTTTATCTGTAGCCACCATAGAAGCTAAAGTATTGGTTATATCAAATGCCACATCATTAGTTTCATAACCTGTATGTGCCACATTAGCAGCCTTTCTGTTCATACATGAAGAAGAAAGATGGCCCTTATGTCCACACTCATAGCATGTTTGCCTCTTTGCTTTTCTGGCCACATCATCATTAACTACTGTATCACTGGTGACACCCACAGGGGCATTAAAAACATTGGCCTCATTTTCACCAACAGCGGGTTCCAACTTTGAACTGGGGTTTACTGATTTTGGTGGGACCGCACATCTAATTCTCACGGGTCTCCCGAAAAGAAGTTTTTGATCCAATTTTAATGCCATTGTTAAGGAAAGACTATCGGCAAAATCCACATGGGCAAAACCTCGGAACTCCCCTGTTTCTTTGTCCTTACCAAGTCGAATAGAGGATATACGGCAATCAGAGAAGAGTTTCTTCAACTCATCTTCTGTTGTATCCCATGACAAATTTCCTACATAGATCCTGTTGTAGCCCTCCAACATTGCAGGGGCAAAGTCGGAAACTTTTTTATCTCTGATTTGCTTGTATGGTTGGACCTTGAGTAATAGTCCACCCCTGCAAACAGGAAATAAGCTTCAGTCTGAATAAAGTTTTACAGGGTTCATCCCCTTTCCCAAAAAAATAAGTTTGAGTTAACATTGTAAAAAACTGGTTATGATCGTTTTTCTGAGAAATGAATGTGTTGCTCACATATCTGATCCATCTAGCGCTAATGCTCTTTTTGCTGCAGCATCAGTCTGTAACAAAAAATTGGTATGAAAGTCAACATTAAAAGCTTATACGTATTATAGATTTCAAATCAAAGCTTACAAAATCGGTGGTACACAAGAGCACATTTTGTTATGTATTAGTCTCCCTCCATGCTACAAAAGCCCCGATAGATAAGATGTATGTATCCCAAAATAAACGATACATTTGACTTTTCAAGGAGATCAAGAAAAATTAAACTGAGAGAAAAAATAATGTATTTGTTACCACAAACAATGTTTATTGGGAATAATCAAGAAAACTGGAATGTTGTAAGGCTTTAAGAGGGCAAGAGCTCTATTTAAAACTCCATTATCATGAAGAACCATGGAAAACAAAGATATCTGCTCTTTTACTGATCTCAGGAAAGCAAATACAAATGCATAATATATATATATATATAATCTATATATACTATATAGCATGACAACTTTGAGTGCATATAAATCACTTCTCCCCAACTTATATCAGTAATATCATGCATCATGAAGAATGAGCTTTCAATAAGGTTAACAACACTATCAAAAAAGTAAACTGTGGTTGCCCATTGATATGATCATAGGTGAAATCCAATCCCGAAAGACAGATACAAATAAGCATAAAAGTATGTAAATAACCAATGAACCTCTTATCTCACCCGAAAACTTATCATGGCAATCCCATTAAACTTCCCGGTCTCAGGAAACTTCAGACGATCTATTTCAGTAATGCTTCCACACCCTTCAAAGTAACTTTGAATATCATCCACTGTTGAGTAGTAAGGAATGCCTCCGACATAAACTTTCGTAGAAATACCATCTTCATTACTGCATCAACATGTAGCACAAAAAGACGATTAATAGGGCTTAGAATATTAATCATTAGTGAAACTATTAGGCCCAATCCGTTTATATCTTTCTTTCTTGACCATTCTCCATTTTGAGGTATACATAGGACCCATAAAATTAAATAGTTGAATGATCAAGATCAACAAGACCAAATTCTTTTAACCAGTTAACTCACTCTTCAAGAGCATGCATATACACAACCAAAAAAAAGTCGATGGTTATAGTTTCGTCTTATTGACCTGAACGTCTTACAGACCAACATTGCAACTTGATATAAATGCTATCTACGTTTCAAATTAGTCGGTCTTTATGTAAGTTTGTTAGTTGTATCAAATAGTTGAGTAGAACCCTCATTTTCAAAATCTTACTCCCTCCATCCCAAAATAAATGTCCACAATAAAAGAAACTCACAAGCTTAAAGAAGTATATAATTATTACACTTTTTAGTTAACTGGATGACAATTTTACCCTTAAAAAATGTTCCAACAAATTTTTCGAACATTTTTCTCCCACTAATGAATTTCTCCTTCTCTATCAACTCTTAAATATCTGTGTGTCATAATTAAAGGTAGAACTGGAAATTCAGTAAATTATATAGCTATCTATTTTTAAAAGTGGACACTTATTTTGGGACAAACTTAAATAGAAGTTTGAACAATTATTTCGGGAAAGATGGAGTAACTTCTTAGCAAGCCCATGAAACGTAAAGGGTTGGAGGGCCTTTGTAAACAGGCTTTCACTTGCATTTGGCAAAAAGGCTGTTTTTATGACTCAAACATGTGACTTTCCTCTCTAAAAAGCCTTATTGGTTGCTCCAAGGATCACCCTTGTTAGGATCAAGTTTTGAGCCTTAATTGTTGTATCCAAGCTTTAAGCTTCTAGTGCTTATCTTGTGTATATATAGGTGTCTTGTGTTAGATTTTGTAGTAGAAGATTTCATGTGCTTAATAGATTTGTCATTTTTTGTAATCATTTGAAGTTGAATACATTGGAAGCTTTAAAGATTTCTCTCTCTAAGATTTCTACTCTCTCTCCACATTTCTAATTGTTCTTGAATTGTAATCTTGATTCATAGATTTGTTATTCATTAATCTTTCTGGGATTATCAACCCTTCAACTAAAAAAGCCAGAAGATGATGAAACCCCGTCAGTCATTCATTCATCAGAATCTAGACTTGCAAAACAACCCAAATCACAATTACAAAATGGTAGGTGATGTAGCCACTCCAAACAATTCAGTTCACAAATCAAATGCTGCAATACACAATTAGGAAATGGATCACCCTTTTTTCTGACAATTGACTACTTATTCAAACCATGCAAAGCATGTTGCAACAGAAGGACTTGTAAATTACCACAAGTTTATAAGACAATAAATGCATTTCCATTAGCTCAGCCAAAAAAGAAACTATCAGCAGATGATGGGAAGTTTAGCATGAATTAAGACACCAATACAATTTCTACAAAAAATAGCCTATATGATTGAATGAAAACTGTAAACAAACAAACATAAATACAAAGTGGGTATCTGGAATATTGCAAAAGCATACCTGGTATAAGTTTGAACTGCCTCTGCCACAACTATTTCTTCACTTCCTCCATTTGCTTTTTGCAATCCCTCTTCCTCCTTCTTCACCACCTTCTTTTTCTTATTCTTTTTCTTCTTCTTCTTCTTCTTCTTACTGATATTCTTTTCACTCAAATCCTTCACCTCATTATCCACATCCTTCACCTCAACTCCATCCTTCTCTCTCTTCCTCTTCTTATTTTTCTTCAACCCACCATTACCCTCTTCACTTTCCCTCTCTTCAACACCATTCTCATGATTTTGAAGTTCTGAAGTTCCTTGAAGAGACGGGATGTTAACTCTGCGTTTTTCTCTTTTAGATAATTTGGGTTTTTGGGTTGCCGAATTCAAGAGAGATTTGATGGACTGATGGGTTTGCGAGTCGTTGAGATCAGATTTGTTTGCTTGAGACTCTGATTTGGCCAAGGATTCGGCTAGTTGAGCTCGTATCCTTTGCTTTAGCTTCTTGTTTGATAGAACCATGCTGCAAAAACCTTCAGAAACAATGGAGGCGAAGCGAAGGGGGAACGGAGGTGGAGACGGTATGGAAACCGGAAGGGAAACCCCCCAAAACCCTTTTTGATTGGGAAATTGTTTCATAGTGTACTTCAATATCGACCCTGAACTTTGTCTTTACTGCAAAACTAGTCCCTATTATTTATCAACTACCAATCCATGCTATCTGCAACGTTTGGCAAACTAGTCGACAATTTTTGGGAGACCTTATCGACGGAGTCGTTTGGCTCCTCTTCATATATTACGCTCGTTCGCTTTTCTTCTGGCGCTTTCATCTTCTTTCTGGAGCGTCGCTTACCTATCGTAAATGTGATCTCTTTACCGCATGACAGGATGGACGAGAAAAGCGGCAAGAAGAAGACAAAGAGAGGGAGACCCCTTTCTATTGCCTTCCCTTTCGACTTCTAGACTGATTCGTCGGTGGGACAGCAATGGATACGATTTCGTCCAGCTAATGAGAAGGCAAAGGAGGCTTTCTGGCTTAATCTATAGATAGATAGCCCTATGATGGGAAACTTCTCCTTTGTTCTCAGTTACTCATCAAATGGCACTCAGTTCAGAGAATAGACTGCTATTGGTTGTTTCGCCTATCAGTGTTCTTGCCTCTATCGTTAGCTCGGGTAGTTCTCGTTTATGGTGTTTTAGTCACCTTTCAATGGCTCCCTTAATTATGTCTCTCGTTGGGTCAAGGCCCGCCGTCATGAGTTTGATAATTTATACCTTTGTTGTTGTCCGATAATTTAGTTGTTGACTAATAAATTAGTTTCGTACATAGACAAGTTGATTCTATACAAACCGTCTAGGGCCTTAGCCTCAACTTGTAGAAAGTAAAATACTTAACACGGGTTTTTTTTAAAGAGGACGGGACCTGACAAAATAATTAAAATATTGTCGAGAATTAAAAAGGAATCTGATAAATGTTTTTGTAACAGTATTACATGCACAATGCATTGTCATACATCTCGATTATGAAACCGAGAACTAAAACACTCAATTATGTGTAATGTTTCGTTCTATTCTTTGTCACTTTTCGATTTTGTTTTATGGTTTTGTGTGGTTTCGGGGAAGCGAGAGAACTTTTGATTGGTTATCAGTTTTAGAGATTATTCTATCATACTAGTAGGGTTCAATGCTTATCTTGTACGTGATTGTGTTTATCAACAGTCTTATGAAGTTTAAACATCGAGCTTTAAGAAGTTGCATGTATACAATAACATCAGAAATTTTGATTTTAAGAGTTCAAGAACACCAGACAATGTTTTATATATAGCAAAGATGTCATTGACTATACTTCAATGTGAATATGTTAGCAATCGAATATTTGAAAGAAAAATTAACTCGGTTAAAAAAAGGTAAAGAAATATATATAAAATAGATATTGGTATTAAATTAAATAAAAACAAAGTACTCATTTTTATATAATTAATTTAATTAAAAATTAATTATATTGCAGATAATACAAATTTTAGGAAAATGAGGTTAAAATTTTATGAAGTTTATCGGTTAGTTTATAAAGTTTTGACAAATAATACTTAAATCATAATAATTTATAACTTTAAATTTTAAAATATTTATCTATACTATATTATAAAGCATTTGGCAAAATAAAACTCTTAAAAACCACTTTTTTTATGCATGAAGTATTGTTTATTGATACATATTACTTAAAATCCAAAATTACAAGTAATTTTGCGTAAGTACAACTTATTAAAACTTTATTTTTAAATTCGTATAACTAACTACAGATAAACATAATCAAATACATGATAAACATTTATTTTAAATATAGAATATCTAAAATATAATTAAGATAATCATTGAGTTTTTGAAAGAATGTTGAATTATTATCTTTAATAAAAAAAATTATTAAACCAAAAATAAATTATTTTGTAATTCGACCTAAACATTAAAATGAAGATTTATCTTGTTGTATTGCATGAGTACCCTTCTAGTATTAATGCGTTTTTATTGCTTATGATGACTTTTATTTAGTAGTTAATTGAGTTGTTGATCTTTTGGCGTGGTTTTGACTCAGATGAGTCTTGGGGATATTTGTCAGCTTTAAATTGCTCCATGTCGAGCTTTTGGAGTTATACGTAGTTAGTTATAACATATTTACTTGCATATTACAAGTTTTGAATGCATTAGTCATTCGTTTGAGAGTCAAGTAATTTAGACTATAATACATTAGATTCATAGGCATGTGAGTCAGTTTTGTGTTAGTAATTATGTCGGTATTGCAGGGTTGGACTTCTGGACTGTCGATATTGTGGGGTTGGACTCCGGGACCGTGAGTATGCGCGTTAGCCTCTGGGACCATGGGTATTGCAAGTTGAACTCTGGGACCCTTTTGTTGGGGTTTTTAGCTTAGTAGAGTATGAACTAAGATTATTGAGTCTTGAGGTGCTACCCGAAGTGGTAGGCATTAAGAACCATGCGCCTTGAGGTGCTACCCGAAGTGGTAGGCACTAAGGACATGAGCCTTGAGATGTTATTCATGGGAATAGATACTAAAGTCAGTTGAATCTTGAGGTGCTACTTAATAACGTTGATGTATGGTTTACTTTGTCTTTACTGGATTCGGTGGATACAGGTCTCCCCCATCACCATTATGTGTTATTCTTGAATAGTGTATTATTCATGTTTTAGTATTGTTTGGGTTTAGAGAGTATCCATAATTTTATGGTTTGGTATATTGGATATTTTCCATGTTTTAATATTTTTGGATAATAAAGTTTTATCCATGTTTTCTGTATTTGGATGTTAATCCTTATTCCTATTTTGTGTGAGTATTGGGTTTTGGTTTTATGTTTGATAGGTGTTTTGATTAATTGATTTTCATCACAAAAATGGTGGATTTTGGGAAAGACGTCGTTTTTATTCTAAATACATTCTTGAAAATTGTGATTTAAATAACATTCTTTCCGTTTTACCGTTTTATACAACTGATGGAAATTATTTGAACTCTCCAGGCGTCAAGCCTAACCTTTTTCTTTGTCGACATGTGTATTAGGTCCTTGGGAGAATGGTACTAGTGATACTGTGATGAGAGGAGCGCTAGTTAGAGGAACGAGAAAGAATTAACTATCCAGGGTCATCTTTCATTCGTGGAGATAATGACTGTTGTTGGGTTTTAGCAGTGTTCAAAAAGGCGCGTCATGGCACGATATGAAGCAATACGCGTCTCCGTCGTTACGAAATGGCCCATAACGTTTCTATAAGGCATGACTCACGCCATGGCGTCTTGAGGCACACCATGGCGTGCCGCGACACGCGTTTTTTGTACACGTATTTTTTCCAAAAAAAATTATTTTTTATTTTCTTATATTTTGTGTTTTTACACTTTAACTTTAGATTTTACATTTTTATAGATCTAACTAATCACATCACTCACATTTTCACAAAATTCATAATTGTTATAGACTCATGGTTAAAATGAAGTTGTAAAATTACATTTCTAAATTCTATTCTAAATGTTTAATCAAAAACATATTTTCATAATAATCTATATGGTTTTTCTTCTTCTAAGATGAATGTTCATTTTTTTAATATCATTATGTAACTAAATAATATATAGAAAACATATATCTATATACATAATTCTATATAAGACATACAAATTTGTCACCTTATGTCACGTCTTGAAAAACGTTGCATTCTCGCCGTTGCGTATAACCTCGCTGTTAACGCCACGTCTCACGCATTTTTGAACCTTGGGTTTTAGTAATCTCGTCCTTAAAGTTAGACTTGTAGAAGATTTGGAATATATATTATTGATACTAAATCTTAGATCGTCATTATAGGTAATTAAATGCTAACTTTTAAAAAAGAATTAAAATATATTATTAAATATTTTAAATTAAATATTTTATTATAACTAATGATTAATTTAATTATATTTTAAATTTTTTATATTTAAAATGAGATATCTATCTCATATTTGATTGTATTTACCTATAGTTAGTTACACAAATTCAAAATGAAGCTTTCAAAAGTTGTACATATACACAATTTACTTATGATCTTGAATTTTAAGTAATATACATCAATAAACAGTATTTTATACATGAAAAATAACTTTTAAGAATTTCTGTCAAATATTTTATTATATAATATAAATAATTATAGAAATTATGTTATCAGAGGTGCAATAGAACCCATATCATCACTTACGTGCTTTAAAAAAAATTGAACTTTGTTATTTTATTTATTAGAGTACATCAGGTTAAGAACATATTTGGTATTATAAAGATAGAGAATTCAATTCAATCAAAATACCATGTAGTTGTTAAGGAATGCAAATTCCTTTATTTGCAAAATTTATAGGATTTTAAAGATTCCTTTCATGAAAAAAAATAAACCAAACAAGAAAATGGAATTTAGTCGATAGAATTCAACGTTCCAATTCCATCATATTTCTTTAAAATCCACAAACCAAACGCCCCTTTTAAGTTTGCTTACTTTCAAACGGGATTAAATAGAAAAAGCATACAAGGCAACAAAACTATAGAAAATGCTTCATTTGGCAAATGTGAATGAATCCTCAAAAGGGTTTTGGAACTGGAGTACTATTCAAGACATCACAACTAACAAAACTGTCCCAACTACCTTAGATGATTCCGATCTTGTTAGCCACATCCAGGGCATCGTAGTCTGGAGTTAACCGAACATACGCTTTCTTCGTTCCATCAGGTCTGCATTAAATGAAAATCATTCAATTTTCAACAAGTATTAAAAGCATATAATGTCACCACCATCGTAGAATACAAATCAAGTGATTCAGATTTTCACAATTAGTGTAGCAGGTATTCATTGCTTCCTATTTTGTACTCATTTTACTAGTTATCGATCAAAATGGGGTACAAAAATTCATATCGTTATACTAAATAAAAACAAAGACAAATTTCATTGCATTTTGGCCATTTCATTTCTAACCAGGGAAATATAAATGATAGATAGAATCATGGAACAATTTATAGTGATGATTAATGATGATCGTAAATTTAAAATGAAGATCAGGAAGTTACCTTATCAAGGTATTCACTTTCTTGGTCTGAATGTCATACATCTTCTTCACGGCAGCTTTGATCTTCTTCTTGTCAGCACGGATGTCAACAATGAAAACTAGAGTGTTGTTGTCTTCAATCTTCTTCATAGCGGACTCAGTAGTCAACGGGTATTTGAGGATCTGATAATGGTCCAATTTGTTTCTTGGTGGGGCACTGATACGAGGATACTTGGGGTTCCTATCTGTCTTCAATGTTCTTGGACGATGGAACGTAACTTTGGTTCGGATCTTCTTGGCTTTCTTTTTGAAGGTTGAACCTGTCTTCACAGCCTTGGCTGTCTTCAACGCCTGAGCTTTTGCATCGCCTTTTTTTGAAACGTCAGCTGGAATAAATAAAACATGTAGAATGTTGTATTAGCAGAATGAGTTGAAAGCATATATTCTAGCTCTCCAACTGAGTAAATTATTGGATGTAATATCATGCATAAGTGTAACCAGAAGTAGACAGTGGTGCAGCTGCGCCAATCTATACCCAAAGGCCAAAGCAAAACCAACAAAGAGAACATGTTTAGCCAGTACAAATATGAAATATACACAATTCAAGCTAATGAAGTTGATTATGCAACACTGGTTGTTAAAGACCATAACTACCAGCTATGAAAGTGAGGCCCATTCAAAACCACCTCATAAACATACAATCTGCAAGGCAAATCACTTGATTTTTATTATAATTTCAAAATTTTGCTATTTACAGCAATCTGTATCGTGTTTAAATATGATTAAAGGGTTCATATGATTATTTTCTGATTAAACTTAAACAAATGAAAATTAAATTTGATGCCATGTTATTATGGTACACTCTTTTTAAGTAACTATCTTCAATATTGACAACTTAGAAAGAATTGATAAAATTAACTCCAAGAGAGATTTCAATTGATGATCTCAAGTTGATTGGGGAATGTGTCAACAAGCAATGTGAATCCATGTATAGCCTAATGCTAAGCAAAGCAAAGAAATGCAGAAAAAAAAACTAACAGAAGCAATGAAGAACAACACATCATACACTCCTAATACCCATTGTATTGTTAGAGTAATAGAGTTTATTGATTATATTGCTTTCAGTCTGCATGAGTCCCAGATTTTTTTCATTAACATGGATATCCAACCCAGTATACGAGCCGACTAATCCTAAGGCAACCACCTGCTTTGCAGGTATCCCGGAGTCGCATTTGAACGTCCGTGGCCACAATGGGCATTTTTGTTCCTTCTTGGATTTGAACCTGGGACCTCCATGCATTTTTGACCTTTGGAACCAAACTCAAACCAATCAGGCACCCCCTTATGGTTATGAGTCCCAGATTTTGTTATCATCAATAAGTGATTAACAGTCATCAAGTGCCTTATGGTATCCTTGGGTTGACAGCTTTGAAACAACATCTGATTAACAAAGCCAAACACCTTTACTAAACAATAGAACATGCTCACATAGTCATAAAATCAGAAACAACAAATGTACAGAAAAATAAAGTTCAAACACGGAATTTCAAAAGCATTGAGCGAGCTCTGTGTGAAAAAAATGCAAACCTTTAGCAGGCGCCATTGCTAAACCAAGCTCCGACGACTGATAAACTGAAATCACATACAAAGAGCCAATTTAAGCTCTATCAAATTTACAAAAAAAAAATCGAAGACGATAGATTAACAACAAATTTAAACCAACGATCATATACAGTCTCATTCCTAGAGATTAAAAAGAAATTTGGAACCCTAAAACGGATGAAAATGAGAAAAAGGGGAACGAAAACATACCTCGAGTCGAGAGTGGGGCAACCTAGGGTTTGGAACGCATGTTGTGATTTGGGACATTTTATATCATGGATCACCATATGTCTAAGAAAAATTGGGCCAAACCGGGTGGCCCGTTTTCTTTTGGATGATAAAAAGGCTAACTTTAGCTAACTATAAATCTTAAATGATATCTATACTATATTATAAAACATTTGATAAAAAATTTTAAAAATAATTTTTTATGCATAAAATACTGTTTATTGATACATATCATTTAAAATTCAATATTACAAGTTGATTGTACGTAAGTACAACTTATTAAAGTTTCATGTTTGAATTCGTATAACTAACTGCAGATAAACATAATCAAATACATGATAAACATCATTTTAAATATAAAAAAATCTAAAATATAATTAAGATAATCATTAAGTTCTAACATAATACTTAATTATTATCTTAAAAAATTATTTTATTAAACCAAAAATAAATTAGTTTATTTTTAAAATTCAATTAAATTATAATAAATAATTGAATTAAAGAAATTAGACAAAAAAAGAACTTTTAAATAGTTAATTTAATACTAATATTGCTTATTTTTATCAAAATTTTATGATATCTTTAAATTTATATTTCATTCAAAAATAAAAATATTTTATTTTTCTCAAAACCACATAAAATCGCATTATAACATTGATAGACTCAAAATATAAAACGAAAAATTAAAATCAAGATGTATCTTGCTGCATTGCACGAGTATTCTTCTAATAAGCAATAATACCTAGTACAAATAGGTTTTCAATATATATATAGGGTTAGGTTCACGTGAGACCAAAGGTTTTTCGTGAGACCGTAAGATCATTTTATGTTCATTGATCAATTTTATAAAGTTTATGATCTAATGGTTTAAAGTTGCACGGTGACAATTTTGTAATTATTGAGAAGGCTTGTGGCGTTTATGAATGTTCAGATAGGACGATTATAGATCTAATCCAAAGATTAAAAATTGGTCTTACGGGTCTCACAAAAAACCATTGGTCTCACATGATCCCAACTCTCTCTCTCTCTCTCTCTATATATATATATATAGAGAGAGAGAGAGAGAGAGTTTGTTTCAAATACAACATGTTGCATTTGTACAACCAATGCAACCCAATAAATTGAGATATTTATGGAAATGATGAGAGTTCATTTATTATGATTTGAATATTTATGGAAGATGAATATGGTTTATTAATTATGATCAACACTTTATATTAGGAAACAATCAAAACTTTTATGAAATCACATATTAATCAAATGAAATGGACGGTCGAGATTGGGTTGTATTGGTTACACAAATGTCATGGATTGTATAATAACCAACCTATATATATATATATATATATATATGTATATATACCAGGATGAAGCTTGGGTGAAACTAAGTGGAGGTCAACATGAAAAACCAAAAGCTCTACCCTCCCTCTCTATCTATCCAAGGGATGATATATGTCGATCCAATTTACGTTTATATGCAGAATGTGAGAAAGAATAAAAAACAAACTAATGTTAAAGTTGTGAAAAACATGTTTCCTTGTGTGAACATAATCAGTACATGATGTTGTTATGAAGATTTTTCTCAGCTATCAGTTCTTTTTTTTTTCAAGACTTTTGAAACTAATTGAGGTGCAAGTGAGTTGGCCTAGATGCCATGGTTAACATGACAATGACTAATATTAAAGTTTTTTAATTGACGAATATAATGCAAGTTGATAAATTATTCTTGGTTGCTGTTATGATTTTGAAGTTTATAGTTCATTAGTAGAAGAATTATTTTCAACGGTTTTCTCATATGCTAGCATTGCATCATAGGATGAGAATATGCCAAAAAAATGTTTGTCGATGAAATATAATGATATTTACGGCAAATACTTAGGGGCCGTTTATCTAAATGCTTACGGATAGGATTCAACATTATAATTTATTTTGATACGTAAGATTTTAGTACATCAAAACGTATCGAATGCAACAAGTTACTGGGTAAGTGCTTACATGGGTAAGAGTCGCCATCCTTACTTACCGGGTAAGACTCTTTATTATTTTCATTGCTCTTACCCGGTAAGATTCTTGGCCCTTCTCATGTTCATCCGATAAGAAAATTTATCCGATAAGCACTTACCAAGTAAGTGGCTAGTAAACGGCCCTTAATTTATGCTTTTGATTTTAAATACGCCAATATTTTTTTTATAAAATGGGAATCAACGCGTATAAATAATGTTTTTGCCATAAAAACACTATTTATATACTCTTATAAAAAAGAAAAATAAAACAACAGTTGTAAAATAGTTCAAAAAATACGTTTATATGTATATGTAAGAACATGGTGCTCTTGGCCTAAGCATCTTTGGCCGAGTCGATTACGTGTTTAAGTTTTCCTTCCTTCACCAACCCAACCAGCCACCAGGTAATCCACATTCCTGGCTTTCAATAAAAAAAAATCGAATTTTAAGCAGGCGAGTTTATTCACATGAAATAATTGCATTTTTAATGTATTTTAGTTAATCATGATTGTATATTTTTAATATGATAAATGTATAAAATGTAAAATGAAAACGTAATGAATATAACGAAAATTATTTTGTATGTATTCTTGATATTTAATAGCATGATTAAATCCAAAAATATTCAATATTAGACTCATTTTAAAAGAATAAAGATATTGTCGAGACGATTATAATGGTATAATTTGAAGAAAAAAAATTGTTTTTTTATACATTTTAATTCATATAAGATTATTTTTGTTAATATAATTAAAGTATAAAATTTGAAAAATGAAAAAGTAAGTAAATTAAAAAACTAACTATAAGAATATTAAGTGTAATTTGGAAATTAAAAATATTTTAATTTTTAATATAAGGGAGAAGTGGGAGGGGGGAAGTTGTAGTTAAGCATGGGAATGGGGCGGGGACCTCAATCTCCGTCCCCGATTACTTATCTCTATCTCCGTCTCTATCCCTATATCCACCGGGGATTATAATCACATCTCCATCTCCAACGGGGAAACGGAGATTTTTTTTTCCGTTTATACAAGTTATTTTGAATTAAATATGTGAGAGACTATACATGTTTAAATCTCAAATATTTTTAATAAACCTAAAATCAAAATAAATTTAATTTAATACAAAAAAATCACAACATTATATAAGAACTAATAACCTAAAACAAAAAAAAATCAATTTTTAATCCAAAAAAACTTAAAGTTGCATGTACCAAAAGATATTGAGTAATATAAAACCATATCGAATAATATACAAAACTTGTCGAGTAATTGTATTTTGACTTGACATCCAAAATATTACATATTAACATCTAAAAAGTAACAATTTTAGATTATAAACCTAGTTATGAAATATGAAATTGTGAATTACCGCTTTAGTTGAAATAAATAATATATATATGTGTGTATATATATATATATATAATTTATTAATTAATATATATGTATATATAACGGGTACGGGGCGGGACCGGGAGTGCCATACCCGTCCCCGTCCACATCCCCATCCCCGGTTTGAGATAAACGGGGATCCCCGTCTCCGTCTCCATCCCTGATTTAGCGGGGAATCCCCGTCCCCGACCGGGGCGGGTGGACCGGGTTCCCCGACGAGTTGGGGCCCATTCCCATGCCTAGTTGTGGTAGTTTTCAAGTTTGTAAAAATTTATACTTCTTAAAATTTTCAAGATATAACTCATTTTCATAATATGGTATAGATTTTATCGTAAGTATTCATGTTACTGAATAATATGATTAAATTCAAAAATATTCGATATTGGAATTATTTCGAAGGTATTGACAAAACGATTATAATGATATAATTTATCAAAAATGTATTTTAATGCATTTTAGTTCATATATGCTTGTTTATATAATTATATCAATATGATAGGATGTAAAATGAAAAATGAAAAAAAAAATAAGGTATGGTTTGATTTTTAATATGTTGGATATTGGGAGGATATGAAAGCTTTAAAGTTTAGCAGATACACCTCAAAAAAGAAAATACAAGATTATATAAATAAAACTCAAGGTATTTATTTGAATTATAAAATGTTATCATTGAAGGTTTAATATGCATTACAGAACAAAAAGATGATTAATTCCAGGGGTGAGCATAGGCGGGTACTCGTCCTATTTGACAGGAACCGGAACCGGCGGTTCTTGAGATATTGGAACCGGAACCGGTTAGAGCGGTTCTTGAATTTTTGGAACCGGAACTGGTACCGCCGGGAACCGGTTCCGGGTACCCGCTTCATAAAATATTAAAATTTTGTTATTTATAAATAAAAAATAAAACATTGTCAAAACACTAATAAATAAACAAGAATACAAATTATAGGGAATAATGGTTACAAATATTGTTTAACGATTACAAATCATAATAGACTAATAGTAAATGTTGAAAATTTAACGATTACATACTATAACTGTAAATGTTCAAAGTTTAACAATTACATACTATGAATCCAATTAAACACACAATTTGAAAAAATACGGATCATTTTATCTCAAATTTTAAATTTAGAGTTGTAAGTTCTTGACCTAACTTAATCTAGTATTAAAAAAATTAATTATTTTTATCTCAACTTAATCTAACCGGTCCCAGCAGTTCCACTCATATCTGTTCCGGTTCTTGAACCGGCAGTTCCAAGACAGTTCTGGTTCTGCAAGTAGGTACCCGGTTCCGCTGCTCACCCCTAATTAATTCTTGAGAATTGGAAAGATGATCAAAAGTGTATATGGATTTGGAAATGTGATAATTGGCCAACTTGTAAGTATGAAATCTATGCATAATAGGTACATTGAAAAGACCATGATCTTTGTAGTGTGGGTGTATCTTTAAGGTGAATCATGACCTGGAAAGTTTTTTGATGTGTATTTTGATATGATTATGTACAATATATTAAGCATTGAAAAAGGTTTTAGCATGTGTGTGCGTTCACGTATTCAGACGTCGGTAACTATGACAACGGGTATCGGGGTCAGGTGTACCCAATAACCCTCATTTTGAGCATTATCTACGTATCATTTGTGTAAGTTTTTCTTCGGTTTTAGTTGTGATTTCTCTTTATGTATTCGTGTATCATATTATTTTATTTTCATTTGGAGCCGTTGATGATGTTTTTATGGTTATATGCATCATTTTTGGGTTAAATGTTGGACTACATAAGGTACCCACTTTGCTTCCAATTCCTTTTTTGGTCTAAAATGTTTTTAATAGGTGATAAAATACCAAGAATTAAAGTTTGTTCTAGACCGTCACTGTTGGACTGTGGCTACAATCTGGTCACTGTGGGCAAATTTTCGAGCAGATTTCCAGTCTTTAAATTGCAGCACTGTTGCCCATCGTGGCGATACTGTTGGGATAGTTTGTGTTTTATTTTCTTTGCAAGTAACTTTTAAGTATTTCTCTTCTTCTACTATGTTGTTTACTTTAAGTATTACGTAAGCACCCTCTGGGTGAGGGTGTGAGTCGAACCTAAGAGTAGTAGGCAACATTTTGGTGTTGCCATCGTTGCTAACTTTTGGGATTGGTTACTCGAATTGAAGCTTGCTTTAACTCAAAGCTAAGAAGCCAATCACTTGAAAGTGTTAATATCAGGTCCTAGACCCAAAGATAGGCGGATTCAGAAATACAACTTGAGTGATGCAAGAAGATTTGAAAAAGTATTTCATAATCACGTAGAGATACGGGGTTTTGCATGATTTTGTAACTAAGGTTCAAACGTCGATCGAGGGTGGTGTTATGTTACATAGAGATATGAGCATTCATGCTTGTAGAACTAAGATTCCCTGAAATCTACTTAGTTCAATCAACAAACTTTCAGTTGGTAAAAATAGTGACTTTGTGGGAAGACTGTGGCCACTCTCCATGGAAGTTCACTTTCGAGAGACAGAGACTTTTATAGATGTTTCATGACCCGTCTCCTTGACCATCTTGTTACTACTGATCTCCTAGCTGACATTAATTTGTTATGAAAATCATCAAACTTGCTCAAATATATTTTATTCTCCTCTAATTGAAATCAATGTATTCTCAACTTAATACTGGAACTCTGAAGTTCGATCCCTGTGGATACAATCTCGGTATTTTACCAGTTTATTACTAGAAAGCGATCATAGTGTATGGTGGATACTTGCAGCATCACTGTGGTGACATTGTTGCCACTTAATGTAAAATCATATTGTTGCCACTTAATGGATATATGATTTTCCGCTATCAGTGCCCATAATCCAAGAATCGATATATGTTGCGAGAGCTCATTTATACCTTGTCGTGGGGAGATATAGTGACCCATGTGATATTGTTATGAAAGTTTAGCACTCATGAAAAGTTACGTTTTGCACGGAATGTTAAAATGCCTTCAGATGATAATGTTGCACGATTGTATGGGTGTCAAGCCTAACAAATAATATAGTATCGTTACCTCACATTACAATCAAACTTGCAATAATAACAAGGGGTTGTTTACCAAACGCTTATCCAGGTAAGCGCTTACCAAAATCACATTACCTTATCGGATGAATATAGCAAGGATCAAGAATCTTACCAGGTAAGAGCGAGACAATGACCAAGAGTCTTATCCGGTAAGTGAGGGCGACAGACTCTTACCATGGTAAGTGCTTACCAGGTAAATTGTTGTATACGATGCCGTTTTGTTGAACTAAAATCTTACCCGGTAAGTAAATGATAGTGTTAAATTTAAGCAGATCTTAGAGTATCTACTCAAATCAATCACCCAACAATGATAAGGCAATACATATAAGGTTAAATGGGATTCAAATGATAACAAAATCATTAACAAAAGTATAAACACAATCCGAGTCAGATGATTACATACTCATTACTCGATTGAGAAAAGCTAATTACCGAAGCAATAACTAATGTCAAGAAAAATGTAGATTGACGAAATATAGAGATGAACGAACGTAAACACACATTCTACAACAAAATAGATGTTTGATCGTCGTGTTTCACACATACACACACATACACACACTTTGCTTGTTTGCTTTAATAGGAAATACAACCAACCATGCATAAATCCACCTGGAATTTCTGGGAAACCAATAATATATACTGACGATGACGACTTACTGCTCGTAGCATGAACCTGGACCAGAAGGAGGGCTTCGAGCATACAGGTTCGTTACTGGGCTAGCTTGAACACCACGCCTTGTTAACAGGCACCGGAAGTGTTGCAACCTTGTTAATGCAGTCTCTGAGGTGTTGCTTCTTGGTGCCGCTTCCATTGAGCTCCACAACCGCTCTACCATGCAAACAAAAAATCATTAAGATCAAGAATCATTACAAGGGGGGTTCTTTAAAACTCAATTTGATTCATTGAATGCCTTGGCCTTGATTCAATTAGGCTTTTCATTGGGGGTTGAGATTTTTCACAATTAGTTTATGCAAATCCAAATTGGAAGATAAGGGATTAATGGTAGAGCCCAGCCTCCCAGAATGTCAAGGGTTCAAACCTCACTGAAGGTGAGTGTGCGTGAGTATTTTCCGGGATGTGTGTGTGTATATATATATTATACTTCAAAAAGAAGATACCTGCAGCAGCTGCAGCACGAGGCCATATTGTTTGCTGAACATTTGAGGGATCGGCAGTCTCACTCCACATACAAACTTCTCCACCAAGCACAAGTTTTTGCTGAGAAGCATCCGTTATCCCTTCTAGTGGTTCAGCATCGTAAAATCCGTCCCATGGGACGTCCAAATGATCAAGATACCAAACCCCTTGATTGCTGTAGATGCACTTAAAGCCTTGTGCAACGACCTTTGGACAAACGCCAGGGCCCAACCTGAGACAATATACAGCATTTCTCTGCATTGAGTCCTAAGAACCCTGATTAGATATGATTATGAACCGCAGATAAGAAAGCCCAAATAGAACTTCACCAGTTGTGCACAACAGTCCGTGGATTAAGCTTTCCAGCAAATGTGTTGAAGGTTTCTTCCCTGTTTAGATACAGCTCAGAGATATTAGAAATTGGTCAGAAAATTTGTAGTGTGAATCACATGTATCCTGCTACTGTCACTGACCGCCATTAATGACTTAATACTCACTTAAAATGCAATATCTGGATCAAATTGTTTTAGTAACAATGGGACAATTATATCTGTTATCATTTAAAAGAAAAGATCCCAAGTTTAACTTTAGCATGAAACAATGGGAAAATTAAACTTGCTCTATGTTTAGTACTTTGTAACTACTGCAAAGTAGTTACCATTTATTTATCCTAGACTTGCCTCAATTCTGAGTTGAATTTTGATTGCCAAAGTCGAACATGAACTGGTCCAATAACAGGTAAATCATGGGATGTTTCTTTTGAAATGATGGGTGCATTAATTTAGATAGAAGCTTTTTTTAAACCAACTTGATGTTAAAGAAATTGACCAAAATGCATAATTTTAATGGTATGCTTAGTTTTACAATTAAGACCCAATAACCTACATCTAAATTTGATGAATGAGACCAGATAAAAACATGGACCTAGAAATGCTGCAAGAAAAACTCTAACCACAAACAAAGCAACATCAAAATCAAAATCAAAACCTAGCATACAATATATCATTTAAAACCTAGTGTATATCCTTTTGTGGCATCAAATCTTTAACATCCCCAGGTTATATACCCCATCTTCCCCATGGAAACGGCCATGAGCCCATCCATGTATATGAACAGTAATCATTTTTGGGGGAAAATGAAATGATGTGAAATTTCCTACAAAAACCATTCAAAAGAAATTATTGAGACTATTTTATTACCATGGTTATAAGAATTAGCATCGACTTAATAACTTATCATGTCGTGTCCACTTCCAAAACTCATCCAATATCTCCAGATAAGAATTACATATATCCCCAGGATACTAAGTTTGCATATCATACAAAAGAAGTACTTCAGTGAGCTTGGTACAAGATATGACATACCAATTGACAGGGGTCCAGTTTTTTGATATTGCTATCTCTTGAGCTCGGAGCACAAAGTACTGATATGCGTCCTTAGCTGTCATGTTCATCTCCTGAAGCCTGTATTTGGAATGAACAAATTATATTTACAAGACAATATTACTATCATCAGCGCAAAGGAGAATGTATAAACTGCACTTCCAAGAAACATAAATATATGTTTTGCAGGAAGTTCGGAAAATGGAGGATTCAAAATTCCTCCAGGTTTCATAAGCAAATGTAATCTCTTTTACAATGTCCAAGCAATAAACACCTTACTGTTGGCTCAAACGCCAACATGAACTGAGCTCAGAAAACACTTTGGAACTTGGATGATGATAGGAAATTTCGCTCTTGTTAATAATGGCATACTATTAAGTAGATGATCAAGAGTCAACATCAATGAGAACCATTCCCTAAAGGAAGGATCATGATGAAAAAGGCCGTTTCAAGGTTAGGAGCAAAAGAAGGAAAACTACCAAAGGAACGAATGCTTCACAATAGCATTTTGATTGTGATCATCTAATAAAGACTGTAGGGTCCAACCTCACAGAAACAAGGATTTGACCTGGTTGGTTCTGAGGAAGTTCCCTATCATGTCAAGAGCTTATGCAGATTTAACAGAATATTGCACCTGCTGAAGGGAAGAAGGAACTTCGAGAAAGAGAAAGGAGAGTTCCGACATATTACACAAGAATAGATGCAATATCTCGTCTGTTGTCATAATTTGTAAGTTTGTTAAAGAAAGTGCAATTTATGGTACATGCCGATAACCTGATTATTTAAAAGATAAAGCATGTGCAATCTTCATCAACATCCATAACTAAAATATTACTTACAAAGGATCTTTAGGATGTGAGTACATTATTGTATCACACAAAAATAGTCACATTGAGAACACAAGGCTTTTTGATGGATAAAGTTGAAAGTGAAGACCAAACACAACAAGAACTGTTCCTACAAAATAAATGCAGTGATGTGATACAAGAATTGTAGAGAAACACCAAGGCATTGCATTTCATTTACATACTACACACAACAGGCACCCGATGCAACCCCACACCCTCACTTGGAAATGGAAGGGAAGGGAATAAAGCTGCAGCAGGATCATGTATGTTCTCAATTGCACCTTTGTCCATTGTGTAAGGCAGATGCTAGCCTATTTATAGATCAAGTTGGGCAAGAGTAAATTTGAGAATATGTTATACTATAATTTATCTATTTACTGCTCCTTGATGGGCAGTTAACTTATTGATGTTAAGTTTCTATGGGAAAGATACTCCTTTTCAGCCATCACTTTGGAAAAATGAGTGCACCATCAAACAACATCAAGATGAAACTCTAATGTTCATCAGATGTTACTATCTAAAAGGGATCAAGCCATTCTCAAATACTGGCCAACCTATTTAAATCATGTAAAGTGTGAATACAAATGTGGGGCAATCAAGAACTAAATACAAAAAGATAAAGGCTATACCACTGGTTCACATGTGGCGTATTCCTCCAACAATCTGTAAAATAATAAATAGTGTAAGACAACCAAAAATGAATAAGAAGCTGATATCAAATAATAGCATCACTATTTCATGACAAATAGTGTAACAAGAAAGTTCAGATATGTTCAACAACCATATTGGCAAAACTTATTCATAACCAATATTGTTTCACCCAATCTTCTAATCTATTCAATACAATCTGCATGGACCTATCACCTATGACTATAACTAAAGGAGAAACTTCTATCTTACAGCCGGTATGTATCCGCCAATTGCTTCAGTAAACAGATGTAGCAAGAACAGCACCAGGGTCAAGTTACCCCAAGTTTACGCTGATACTAGTAAAAAATTCTATAGGGAGGATCTCGGCTTTAATTTCCTAACATATACTAAAGTAATGCGTTTCTCTTGTTAGATAAAATAGTTTTGAACCCGTCCCAATGTGCCATATAAGGTATGTGCAACTCAAGTAAATCAACCATGCCTTCCATGGGAAGCTACTATTTGTATGAATGGCGTGATAGTGCAGACAGCTCAGATGGAGAAATTGGCTAAGCAACCTAGAAGTTTTAATCTCCCATCTACGGCTGGAGAAATGTCGATTGATATCGCTAACCAGCAAGAACATCTGGGTCCTCACAACAGCCGAGTACAGCAAGGTGACCTCAGGACTGATCTGAATATTGTAAAGGAGCAGCCACTAGGAAAGTAGGGTGTGACACCAACCATCAAGGAGAACTCAGAATGCAACACAATATGAGGTGGTGGAACCCCCATCTTGACCACAAGTCTCTCCTATATAATGACGACCACGAAGAACACTCACCTCTTTTCTCATGTCCTTGTACCTGTTCTGTTTGAAATAATGTGAAGTCGCATGTTGGACACAGGGAGCTCCCAATGTATGGTCAAAATGTTATCTCATATGTCAAGTCGAGAGTGAAAGAGAAATCTATCGGGCAACCATCAAAAGATTACTTCTTGGGGGCAGTGGTATATTTCATATGGCATGAAAGGAACAGGAGAATCTTTTAATCACAATCCAAGGACAAAAAAAGGGTAGACGCGACCCTCTGGAGCGCCCCCACCGCAGGACCTGTCCCATGGTCATTATGGGGGAGGTAAATCGTGCATGCATCCCATTGGCAGAGGAGTGGTGACTGGTTTCGAACCCGGGACCTCACTCATATGGCTTACACCCACACTTCTACCGCTGAGACAGATCAGCGGGGACAATGGAAGCAGTGATAAAGGTTATTAGTTATTACTTATTACGTTAGATTGCCACTAACGAGTCTAGAGATGGAAGACAAAGCTAAGTATTTGCAGTTTCATCATGGAATTTTCCAATTAGCTGTACTGAAAACAATAGATCCACAGACAACTAATTGGAGTTCTGGGCCACTTATGTTTTGTTTTGGTAAATGTGGATACTATAGGTTGCCAACCGGATCCAACCCTTTCTTGGTTTAATATCCCCCTTTAGATCCAGGGGTTTTTGTTTAAGGGTGTTTTCAATAATTACATTATTCTTTTATCAATCAATTTCTCCCCCAAGTTAAGCCTGCCTTTCCAGAAAAAGGAAAAGAAGATCTGAACCTCCTTAAGAGAATAACTCCAATCTACATGTTCACTTATTATCTATGAAACTTAGGTTGTAGAAGAAAGGTTGCTACACAACTCTCATAGACAAGACATCCTCAATTAGAAGAAAAACTTACTAACCAGTATTGACTTCATCACCTCCTAAATGGAAGAGCTCAAATGGAAATATTTGCCGCATGTCTGCAAAAATAAAAATTGGACATCAACAAAGTGTCGAGTTGGACAGTTACACAAATATTTTGAATCATAAAAATGAAGCAATTAAGAATGTTTCATGATTTAAACTTGGGTAAACTTATAGCGATGACCAAATTTACTATCAAGATCACCACAGTTCCTTTATGTAGGAAAAACATTAGAGTAAAACAGTATTACACGTTCTCTCTCCTCATTACATTATTTGGAAAAGGAAAGAGAGAGAAAAGGTAAGTTTCGTGATAACAGAGGTGGTGGTTATCATAGATTTCTCTTCATCTCCGTGTTATTGTTGCCAAAAATGTCAGCTTTCATCTCTCAGTCATTTAAGAACCATGTCTTTTTATCACTCAATTGTGATGCAAAAGGTAATAACCATGTAGTGACAACTAACATCATGTGGTAGAAACTTAGTTATAAATGCTACGGTAGTCATCTAAACCACTATACCTCCCCAAGACCATCTACAACTTCATTGTGCCAACAATACAATTAGATCCACATCATTTATCACCCATATTAACTACTGGTAATATACAAACCTAAACAATATGACACACTAACATCAAAATATGAGGTGCATTGTGGATGAATTTACAATGAGTTTGCACACACAAACAAACAGCCAAAAAACAAAATGAACAAAAAAGGCACACACGCACTTATCTCTAATATTATCAAGAACATGTTAGTCAAGAACTAAGTGAAAATCAAAGCCCTTAGAGCTAGAAACACCACAAAGGAGACAGGAAAGAGAATCAATCAACAAAACTAGCAATGAAGACATCAAGATTGTGATAATGCACCATCATGGAATCCCAAGTTAATATTAAGGCAACAGTATTACACTATAAAGCATGATTTCTGAGCACATACAAAAAAAATTGATGCATACACAAATGGCCGGTCATCAATTATAGAGATTAACCTTCTAAAATTCCAGAAAGCACCTCAAAAGTGAAGTTCTTTGAAACATCCAAAGGTTCTTTACAGGAATCTGAAGGCCACAGATCAGGATACCCATTACCCCTGCATAGAAAGCAACTCGATTTTTGAATACTAATAAACTAATGTATGTTAACTATCCCATAAAAGATATGATGGACAAGTGAAAGTGATAATTATGTGTTTACTATGCTAATATATTAATGTGTTTGCCTCAGTGTCATATCACTATGCACATACTTGATGTTAACCTGATTGACCTTGCAATGCTTATTTCTGCTATAATCTATATACGGAGAAATAACAACTAAAAATAATCAGGAATTTCAGATTTACATTTTCATGGTGGAACAAGAACAGTGCATACTTGAAGTTATTTAAATTGACATTCCATATTATGTACAGAGTTTGAAAATGCATAATTCATTTTTTATCTATCGATTTTCATTCTTTTTTTATTTGTTTCCTCTTTCAATTCCTTTTCTTCAAGAGAAATCAATTGTAAAACAAAAACAGAAGAGGTTGTAACTAAAATGCTAGATAATCCCATATATGCATCTAAACCTCTTCCTGAGTGAATAATTTCAAGCAAAGGCTTGAGAGAAGGAGCAGAGTCATGAATATAAAGAAGAAAAGACAGACTAAAGTTTACAAAACTCATTTACCATGATTCTGCATGACCAGGAATATCAATCTCTGCCATAACATTGATACCTGTGATAAAAATTTAACAAAGACCAACATTAACAAAAAACCCAAGCCCATACACAAATTATACCAATCGCTTTTACTTAATTAAAGGAACTGTACTGAGCTAACCCCTATTTCACCTAGAAATATCTAACAAGTTTCATAATACTTAATTTTAAACCCCATGTGATAATCAAGTTATGCTGATAACAAGGGAATGTCCTACAATATTTTGGCGTTCATAATGGGTATATTCAAGTGGGAAGGAGGGAGTATAGTAAAATTTTAATCCGAGAATTCAATAATAACATGTATGTATATGACTACATAGGCACCACTTTAAACAATTAAACTAGAATACTATTCACAAATAGCTTGTTGAAACTTAAAGATGTAAAAGATGAAAGACTACCTCTCATTTTTGCGAAGCTTTACAATAACATCACCAAGGAGACATGAAACAAAAAACAATTTTTTAGTAACAAACCAGAAAGGCATGCAAATATTGATGTAGAAACAAAAGACAAGTGTTAGAGCAAGTGTTCTGTGATCATAAGATTCAGCATAGTTAGTTTTGCATACTTTAGGTAGCAATTTGCTAGATAAATTGCTTATAAAAATAAAGTATAAGCATCATATGGCATAGTGACATGTAGTTGTAAAACAAACACTCTTCCAACGGCATGGCTTAATCCCACATGTCCACTATCACCCCACCATGACCCGACGCAGGAACTAAGAGGAAAACTGGAAAAGGGCATATAACAGCATTATATGCTTATACATGGGCCCACAGGTGAAAGTTAAAAAACTGACAAAAACCATCAAAAAACATGTGCCACTTCGAGGAAAAGAGAACGAAAGAACCAAAGAGCACTTCCAATACAAACACAAGGGAGAGGTCAAGACTGATGCAACATTTATTCTAACACATTGCAGATACACTATCAATGCATATCATATGCACATAGCATACATCCGTTGAGAAGGAGACGTTGTAGAAGCTACATATTAATCATACCAAAGTCGCACAGAATTGATAGGTGATAAGAGATATGTAGTGACAATATACTTGGCATATGAAAGTCGCATAACTACTATAAGTGATAGGACGAAGAATCTTACTTGACTATTTCATAAGCATCCTCCACACTATACCGCTCCCACTTTGTATATGCACCTTCCCATAGCTTTGGATATGCAGGTACTTCTAAAGGAAATGACTGCTCATCTATGATGTGCCAATGAAGAACATTCTACTGAACCAAAATCATAACATCATAAGTACATCCAGTTCAGTTCAATAGAGAAATTGAAGGATATCCCAAAGGGATGAGCAATAAATTCCGACTATAAATTGCAATCATGATAGAGAAACAATAAAAAGTAACTTACAAGTTTAGCGTATGACATAGATTCAATTATTTGCTTGATTATTTCAATTGGGTAATAGTGTCTTGAAGTATCTGTGGAACAAGGTAAACATCATTGCCATCTATAGTCAGAATACACCAGAAATAATAATAGAACTAGCAATGATACAGCAAACATTCATATTTATTTATCCTTTTTCATATTTTAGTTCGGGTAACAAGGCCAATTTAACATCTAACTGTGAAAAGAATTGTAACATACCAAGCAATAGCCCACGAAACACAAATCTTGGCTTGTCTCTGATAAACCATGGAGCTTTGTAGATTTGTACAGTTTTAGTTCCATAGTCGAAACCGCATAATTGGCTGAATGTCTGCAATATAAGACAATTATAAGCAAAAAAATGATGTGAAGGACAATGCATCGGTTAAAAACAAATTTTATAAATAGCTGGCTCTTCTTCACCATGATGTTTTTTTAACATCAAAACAATGTGTATTTTTTAGTAGCATCCAAAGAACATATTATCAAACCAATTCGGTCCACGACTTTTATTAACGCATATTCTACAGATAAAAAACAGGATGCATCCATACGTGATGTAACAAATTTACAGCACAACTATGACCAGTTGTGATCATACCTCTAATCCACGCAATGCACCATAAACTGTGTTTGCCTGCATTAAACAAAACCAAAGAATAAAGCAAAGCAGTAAGGCTTGATTATCGACATCTAGTGTACAGCTTAAACCAAAACGCTAGACAATACCAAAATGTTTAATCATCAAACAAGTCTGCTAACATTTCAGCACAATACATATTAGAAACCATTATACATGCAAATTAACTATCTTGGTGAATTTATACCCTCCACAAATATATCAACATGATAATGGTGATACCACCACAAGATTTCGTTACTGAACTTAAAAGCCGTAAGCACTTTTAAGGGGGGAAATATTAGCATACGCATGGCTTGTTTCCCTTCTCTTGGGTGATTTTGCTAAACACTACCAAAACTAATGTGTTTCCAAATGTGATTTTAACACTCATCCGCTCTATATGCCTGGCTATGTTCCATCACCCCCCGATTCCACCAATCATGACTCTTGACTCCAAACAAGCCGGTTTATGCAACATTGTTTTATCTTCTTTTTGTCTTTTCTTTTTAAAATACTCATCTTTTTACCTCTCATAGATATAGCGAAGTGTTTCCATAAAGAAAGCATCATATAATCACTTGTCACAACTCACAACCAGAAAGAAACAGAAAATAGAGTGAAAGCAAGCCAAACGAGCAGCAAGACTGTTTGAACTGATATTGCTATTTGATAGAAGTAGCTAAAAGGAGTACATAAAATAATCATGTTCCGTACCTTTATACTTCGTTTATGAGGTTGAAAGCAAAAGACTAAAAATAAATAAGTTGCAGACATACGCACATGCGAACTTACCTCAATGGTAACCTCACCAATAACAGAAAGCCCATTATTCTTCGCCACCAACAAAGTATAGCTCTCATCAACACCAAGTTGAAGCTACAACAAATGCAAACAGCTAAATTTCACTTCTGAAGAAATCTTTTAAGTTAAGCTACTTTCAAAAACTCACCTCTTCGTCGTTGGAATTAACAACGATAGTAAGTTTACTAATATCATAACCTAAGGTCCTGATCCCTCCAAATTTGGAGCTACCAACGTGCTTAAATATAATTGTTCTGTATCTCTCAAACGCCTCTGTAATAATAACAGAATTTCCGCCATTGCCGGAAACGGAGAGCGATAGATCAGGATCCACCGCCAAGGTTTCATTACCGGAAGTGAATTCTGACGGCAACGGCCATAAATATGTGATGGATGAATCGTGGGATAGGTGTGAAAAAGAAGCGATTGTTGGTAGGGTTCGAGAGCTGATAATTGGTGTTAAATATAGAAGGATAGATAGAAGGGTGAAGAAATAGCGTGGTGATTGGAGGTTTGGGATGGGGAATTTGGGTGACATTTTTGGGGGGAGATCGGAGAAGAAAGAGGGTGAAGTGTGTGTTGACCTTGGGAGTGTTGCGACAAGATGATCCACGCTTCCAAAAGTTCCGTTGATTCCTTCCATCTTTACCACCATGGTTTTTTTTATCTCTGCTCCATGAACAGAGCATCCCTAATGGTAAGTTTTTAAGGATGAGTCACGATCCTTATTTTATGGTTTACAGGACTTTTACGTAAAAGAGTGTAACAAAGTGTATTTTATGATACCACCGGTGGACCCGAGCGATATAGGATGGGTAAATCATAATTTTGAAACACTGTAGAAGTATTTGTATAATGCAGTGAGACATATCTCAGTTTTAATTATATTTTATTATTTGTCTCTGTCAAAGTTATAATAAGATTTTATGTGTTTTTAAGAAAGCATTAATAATTTTATTTTTGAATAAAATATAAATTTGAAGATATTATAAAAATTTGAAAAAAAAAATGTATTAATGTTAATATCAAATTAACTATTTAAAAGTTCTTATTTTTATGTAATTTCTATA